ACATGATCATGTTCATTTTGTAGGTGGTGATGATCCTATGTAACTTGTAATCACTGGGTGTGTAGAATATCAAAATGATACATCGTTATCATTTTTCATTTTTCAACTTTTCTTCTTCTTTAAAAGACGAGCTACTTGAGTTGTCAGGATTCATCCTTGATTATCTTTATCGCGTGCAATTGAACAGAATTAAAGATAAGTGATTGTTATACTTGAAGGGTAGGCTTTGAGAATGGGACGACTTTGACATTTTGTCATGTCGTGTTACTTTCCAAATTTATTGGATGTAAAAAAATGAGAATTTGCCAAGTAATAGTGATGTAGACTATGTTATGAAGGCTCGTTATCCTTTATTCACTTTGTCTAACTTTTTAAGAACATTGATTTTTATTCTTTCGTAGAATATGAGATCAAGAAAAAATCTCTATCCTTTATTCATTTTATCTTCATTTTTTAATTCTTTTTCAAGGGTAAGTCACCCGAGCTGTTTAGACCAAGCTTGGATCCTAGTATATTTGAGTTTGAAAAAAAAAAAAAAAAAAAAAACAAACAAAAATTATACTTATTCCCGATCTTTTCTTACTTTTAAAATAAATAGGAGAATCATACTTAGCTGAACTTCATTCTTCTTTTTGTACAAATAGTAAAACTTTCTTGCATTGTGAACCTTATTCAATATTACTCTTTGTTGCATTTTAATTTTCTAAACTTCGTATGGTTACTACTTCAAGTAGAAAAGATAAAAATAAATAAATAAAATTAAATCATAGGATTGTAAATTAACCATAATTATCAAAATTATAAATTATTAAATATTTGTTTGTGTTCATTTGTTAATTATGTGCAAAAAAATATATAAGTCCATTATCATAATCTTAAAATATATGTGCTTATTTTTAGTTTTAGTCAACTCAAATTGCTCGTGAAGTCGAATGAACTTTAATATGATATTAAAACTTGAGAAAGAAAAAGATACATTAACAAAAGTTTCAAATTTATTTAAATGGCACCTACTCGAACTAGGCTACGCATACGAAAATTGTGCGAAATTATATAGTTTGGTGTACAAAACTAAATAATGTAATTAACTACATTTAATTTAATTTAATTTAAAATTGATCAATCTATTGGAACTTAATTATTCTTGAACTTCTTATGGTACCTTCAAGTGCCGAAAAATTGAACCATGCATATTACATATTTGGTGTGTATACGTTTATGAGGGCTGGATCTGCTCAGTTGTTGGGCTACCTCAATGTTGTTGCACTTCTTTTGGGCTTCTTTATCGAACTCGTTAGACGTAAGCTCTATATTTATGGAAATTTGACTATTTTTGAAACATAAGACGTAACTAGATGATTAGGTGTCAAAATAGGTGAGTTGACACTCCCATACTCATATGCACGTAAGCCCCACTTAGGTCCATAGTGAGTCTAAATCAGATCTACTAAAAATATGGCCTATGCCTATAACGAATCGTCTTCCCAATAATGGACGGTAAACTTGTCGATATTGTGAGTAGACGAACCATATTGAGTCAACACATAATTTTAATCTATAATTGAAAATATTAAGCAATATTATTTTCATATTTACAAATTATATATCAAAAATGTTTGTGAAGAAAAATATAAAAAGTCACTTTAGAACAAGAATTTATTAGTAACAACACAATTTTTTTCCAATTAATCGAGCCAACTAGCCAATAATCGTTGTAGCTGGAATGAAAATTCATTTTGATATGGCTTGTTATAGTTGGGTAAAGCGGTTTGTACACGGAGGCGTCAACCCCCTCACAAGAAGGGGGCCCATATCCAATAAAAATAAAAAATAAAAAATCACTGTGAGGGAACTGTACATTGATGTACACTTTGTTGCATTTTCACATTCATAATAAGAGTATTTTAATTTTCTAAACTTCATGTAGTTATTACTACTTCAAGTATAAAAGATTAAAAAAAAAGTATAAAATTAAATCATAGGATTGTAAATTAACCATAATTATCAAAACTATAAATTATTAAATATTTGTTTGTGTTCAGTTTTTAATTATGTAGAAAAAAATAAGTCCATTATCATAATCTTAAAATATATGTGCTTGTTTTTAGTTTTAGTCAATTTAAATTGCTTGTGAAGTCGAATGAACTTTAATATCATATTAAAACTTGAAAAAGAAAAAGATACATTCATAAAAGTTTTAAATTTATTTAAATGGCACCTACTCGAATTAGGCTACACATACGAAAATTGTGCGAAACTATATAGTTTGGTGTACAAAACTAAATAATATAATTAACTATATTAAATTTAAAATTGTTCAATCTATTGGAACTTTTTTATTCTTGAACTTCTTATGGTACCTTCAAGTGCCGAAAAATTGAACCATGCATATTACATATTTGTGTGTATCTGTTTATGAGGGCTGGATCTGCTCAGTTGTTGGGCTACCTCAATGTTGTTGCACTTCTTTTGGGCTTCTTTATTGAACTCGTTAGACGTCAGCTCTATATTTACGGAAAGGGAAAAAATCAGATATAAGGTGTTATGTTTACCTCAATTCAAAAATCAAATAAATAGTTTGAAAATTCAAAAATCAGGTATGCATTTAATTAATTAAAAATATTTATTAAATAAAGATAATAAATTCATAATTACATGATTAATGGTCATAGATTCATAATTATAGGTCACAGTTTTATTTATTGATCACATATCGTCAAATTAATTGATCACAGATTATTTAAATTACAGGTTACATTTTGGCTATGGGTCACATAGATTACAGTTTATTGGTCACAAATTATTTTTTAGTTACAGACACCTAATATTTGGTTACATATGCCTAAATAGAGGGTCACAGAGCCTAACTGTTGGTTACAAACATCTAATTGTTGGTCACAGACACCCCATTCGTCTCCATCATCGCCATAGTGCATCACCGTCGACTACCACACCATCGCTTGTACAGCACCACAGCCACCAACTCACTCAGCCACATCGCCACACTACACTACACCACACCGCCACCACACCATACAAAACCACCAAATCTAACTAGCCAAACTACACCACATCACTCACAATGAGCGTTGCACTGCTGCAGCGAAAAAACTCAAACATTGATCTTATAGGCACCGCAATCTGAAGTTGTGATTGTAGCGGTCGCCGTCGCATTGTCATCACCGTTGCAGCGGCGAGATCTAAAACTATTATAGCGCCATCATCTGTAGCGGTCGAGTACAAGTAACTTCATCGTTGCATCCCCACCCAAAAAATCCCTAAAGCAGCAGCTACGCATACCAGAAAAATCACCATTGTTACAGCATCGGAGCTCACGCCACGAGCAGCGTTGCCCAAAATTGGCATCACCATGGCTGCGGGGCTCAAATCGTCACGAAGATCTAGAAGCGCCGCTCATATCAGGTCTAGTCAGCGTCGCTGCATTGCACAAAACAAATGCCGAAGAGAAGTTGGCTGCTGTCATTGTGTGTGTTTAGAGAGAGATAGGAAATGGGTTTGAAATTAGGGGTCATTATATTTATTAATACCTGATTTCCTGATTTGTGCATAAATAAACTTCGTCCCTCAATTTTGAATTTGAAAGTTTAAATACCTGATTTTATGTAATTTTCACTTACGGAAATTTGACTATTTTTGAAACATAAGACGTAACTAGTTGATTATAGGTGTCAAAATAGGTGAGTTGACACACACATAGTCATATGCACGTAAGCCCCACTTAGGTCCATAGTGAGTCTACATGAGATCAACTAAAAATATGGCCTACGCCTATAACGAATCGTCTTCCCAATAATGGACAGTAAACTTGTCGATATTGTGAGTAGACGAGTCATATTGAGTCAACACATCATTTTAATTTATAATTGAAAATTTTAAACATTATTATTTGCATATTTACAAACTATATAGCAAAAATGTTTGTGAAAAATATAAAAAGTCACTCTAGAATAAGAATTTATTAGTAACAACACAATTTTTTTTTCCAATTAATCGAGCCAACTAGCCGATAATCGTTGTAGCTAGGATAAAAATTCATTTTGATATGGTCTGTCATAGTTGGGTAAAGCATTTGTACACGGAGGTGTTAACCCTCTTACGAGAAGGGGGACCATGTCCAATAAAAAAAATAAAAAATCATTGTGATGGAAATTGTACGCTAATTTACACTTAGCAAAATCCGTCATAATCGGTGGACCAACCCACAAATTGGTAGCGGCTGGGCTTGGTCCAATGTGGTTTTCAACGGTTTTGGTCGCTTAGGCATGGGTTACCTGTCAACTCCATTTTGACACCGCCATAATTGGCCTTAGGTGAATATGGAATCGGGATCTAATGGTCTCTGATTCATCAAGAATTTTTGACACGCAAGAGAGGTCAGAGATGAAATTAAAATATTCTCGTTACAATTTAAATTAAAAATTAATATAAAAAGATTGGGACGAAGATCATGTTCCATATTCTATTTACCTTTCGGGGTGCGTGGGGGCAGAGAATCTTGCCATCCCTAGCAATCCTAGATATTCTTGGAGAGAAATAGAATGATACGAGATTTTGATCACAACAAAGATAGTCAATTTCCTAGAGTCTATTTGACAAAAAATTAACCTAGCATTATGTCATAAGAGCATCATACGTCATCCCGTGATTAGTGAACTATTCATTATTTTGACTTTGAGTAAGATGTTGATATAAATAATTTATTTCAATTTAAGTGTTACCTTATTCATTTTTTATCAACTAATCGGTGGATATTATCGTCATTAGACTACGACATTTTTTTGACAAATTATTGAATATAAAATGCAAAACCGAGTTAAATTAAATATAGAGTTCTTAATTCTAAAAAGATTTGTATTAATAAAGATCATTATGAGACGTTTTTGGTAATGTTAGTAAAAGTATAGAGTGTTTTAGTAATAGTTAAAAATTAAGGGAAGTTTATGTAATTTTCTCAAATATAAAAGGAAAGGAATAGGACCAACGACCTCTCCCAACAACCAACTTCCTTTCTCACACCAGACCCGTGTATACTACATCCCATTTACATTCACTTCCCCTGTCTCCATATCCCGAAAATCTTCACACACGCTTGCGCGGGCGAATAATCTGAAGATCTGTAATTTGTGAATATTTGTTCATATATGTCAGAGAGGGATTTGAGGAGAAGGATCACGGCGTCCCGTAGAGCTAATAGCAGAAGCAGAACAGGAAAATCATCTCCATCACCATCGCCGGCACCGTCACGGTTAAAATTTCGGAGTAGTAGGCCACCAGTTGATGTCTGGTTGAGGAAGTCATCGGAGAACTTGAGGATTTTGCAGAGATCCAAATCGGAGCCGTTGCTATGGAGAGGTGGAGGTGGAGTGGAGGATCGGAGCTTGACGTCGGTGACTGATATAGATGTAGGAGTGCTTTACCGGCCGCAGACGTGCAATGATATATTCTCGTCACCGGAGAATTTGTTGCCTCGGTCTCCAAATGTCGAGGTGAGATGGATTTCTCAATAATTAATTATTTAATTTCTCGCGTCTGATGGGTTGCTATTGACTACTTAGATTTAGACTTTATTATGCTATTTTTAATTATTTGCTTTTGTCTACTAAATTATTGAAATCAAAATTTTGAATATAGTTGAATTAGATTTAAAATATAACAATTTTGTTCTCAATATATTGGTCATTGCATGAATTTTTTTAAGATTAAGACTCGATGTAAAATTCATAGGCATAGTGTGGCACTGGATTTATTTATGGTATGTTTATCACAATAGACTATAAATATTGTTAGTAAAGAGACATTGTAAAATTTGTTTGTCGTAAAATTTAGAGGTTGTTTTGCAAATTACAAAGCTCATGGTTAAAAGTTGAGTCTATTTTGATAAAAGTTAATAAAATGCGTAATTGAAAAGTTGATAAAAATTGTGAGTCGCTTGGAATGTGTAGTTAAAATTGATTAACAAACAAGCTGTTAGTTCTATGTAGCCAAGCATGAAAAAAAGGTTATTATGATAGACAAATTATTCATTTACCATTGATAGTCGTTTAAATTCATCTAATATAAGGTTGCAATATATTGCATTTTCATACACTCATGGAAAACTCGCACTAAAACTCTTGAACTCTTGTAACATGTTTGTTATGGAGTACTAAACATGATAAAAATGAAAAAAAAAAGTTAAAATCTTATATGTATATATTATGTGAAGTTTCGTCTAGTATTGAATTTGGATCCTAAACATATCCTTATACTTTTACTACGAAATGTTTGAGATACCTTTTTATTTTTTAGCTCTTCATTGTAGTCTGGTGAAATTAGGTGATGAGCAAAAGATTGTTCAAATTAAATAATTGAAGGTTCATTATTTTGAATTGTATTGTGTTGAACATGTTTAATGAGGAACAAATTTGAAATTTTATTGATGGTACAATGTTTAATTTATTGGAGAAATTTGGTGTGTAGAGGTACAACAAAGACTCCAAGGTTGTAGTTAATGTAACATTTGAGGGAAGTCCTGGGCCAATCCGAACAATGGTGAAATTAGGATCCAGTGTTGAGGAGATGATAAAGCTTGTGATTAGAAAGTACAACTCGGAAGGCCGCACTCCTCGTCTGGATAAAGATTTTGCTTCGAGATGTGAATTACACCACTCGTACTTCAGCCTTCAATGTGAGTTATTCATTTGATTTTTAACTATTTCTTGGTTTTTTCTTATACCAAATGAATAAAACTGTTTTTAGATGAATGTTTAATTTCTTCCTCTGCTTTAGAGCCCGTTTGGTAGAAATTTTGAGAATTGATTTTTTGACCGTTAGAAGAAAAATGGGGTCCACATATGAAAGAAGAAGTCAAAAATCACGACTTGAATAGTAAAATAACGGTCAAAAAATCAATTTTTTGAGGCGAAAAATCCCTACCAAACAGGGCCTTAACATTGTGTAAATGAAAACGATGCCAAGGGATGAGATTGATTGTGAATAAAATAAATGAATGGCTTTTTAGGTAGTGGGGACATGTAAACTTTTAAGAGACTCACGTTCATGTAGTGATACAATTTAACCTTGTTTGAGCCTTATTTTAATGTAAGAATGTATTTTGAAATAGTAAATTGATGAAAAATGTATGGTTAAAAGATAATGAACAATATTGGATTTAAGTTTAATGTTATTTTATTAAAGAGTGTGTTGTTAAAAATAAGAGAAGGAAAAATATATTTGAAAATAATGGTTAAAATGTATTTCGAAAATAACGTGAATCAATTTTAATTGAGTAATGATATTTGTGGTCGATCACTATCGTAGTCGTCCTATTTACAGTCGTCCTACATGATATACATTCTTCAATCTAATTTCCTCAATTTATGTACTTTCATAGTGATTTTCTCAATGTTTGGTTTCAATGCTTGTTTGTTTGGTTCAATAATATTCGTTTCAATATGAGCAACTAGGTTTGAGCAAGTCAGATATAATTGGGGATGTCGACAGCAGAAGTTTTTATTTGCGAAAGTGCAGCATTGATCGAGGTGAAAGTTCTCCAAATACAAACAACATCCCTATGAATGCGAACAATGACCTTCCTTTCATTCCAAGTTTCATTAGCCAACATATGAACAAAATTGTCAGAAGAACACGACGACTTTGGAAACTTTTAGGATGCATCTAATGTCGTCTTTACCAGAGTAACACAATATTATGTTGTTGCTCTGACATTTTTACGGTTCATTCTTTTTTCCTTTTTAACGTGCAAAGTGGTTACCATCGGGTTTTATTTTTTATTTTTATTTTTATTTTTATGTTGGGAGAGGCAGGGGAAAAAGGGTTTGTAAGTTTCCTTTTTTTAGCTTACTATATAATATATCTTCTAGTAATTAAAATACGTTTGACTTAGCTTAAATGCTGCTTCTATTTAGAAAGAAGTAAGGCCAAACGTGCTCTTTGTAATGTTGGGATTATATGAAAACATTAATTAATCGATAACATCGATGTGAATTACCTACTTATTATTCTAGCAAAAGAATCGCTGATCTTCTTGATGACAAAGTTGATAATGATGCAATAATGTTGAAATTCTTTACATGCGACTAAGAACTTATAAATCATAAAAATACAAGAATAATTGGTACAATCCGAAAATTCAACTCAATAAGTATATATTACGTAAAATTAGAAGATGGCATCCAATAAGACTTAAAATTCAAGATCAAGATAAACAGTAGGTCTGTATTTTCTAAAGTAAAAACATCATAGTCAATCCTAAATGTGAATTTTTTTCGTGAAATATTAGTTCATTGAAAGAAACTTGAAGGGTCCAATGTATTTTGTCGACCCAAAGTCATAATTAAATTGTGGTCGGCTGTTCTTCGATTAGGCCGGTTATCCAATGATTTGACCAAGATTTAAAATTCAATTTTAAAATTTGTCAATTAATGATCTATCAACAAGTGTTGTACTATTGTGCGGTACAAAATTTTGAAGAGAATAATTGAAAATTTTATATTGCTTAAAGGGGTTGTGCAATAAAGTTTATTGATACATGTAAATTTTGATAAAATTTGATTAAATGTGATTCAAAAATTAATAAAAATTGTGTATTTCATGAAATGTATGGTTAAATTTTTTCAAACAAGCGCTAAAACTAATACCAAGCAAGTCTTGTGTCTTTCTTCAACTAATTGAAATGATAAATTATAAATTTAAATTAATTAATGTAAGATTTTTTGTTTTTAATTTTCATTTGAAACCTAATCGAATTAGAATATGTTTGTCTAATATTTTAAGAATCCCAAAAGCTTAAGAAATGTTCGTAACTTCGTTTAAGCATTTTTTATGCTTAGCCAAACATGGGCGTACTAATTAAAATATATCATCGCTCGACCAATCGAACTGCCCAAGAGTGGAGGGTAAGAGCACGACCCATATCACCACACCGTGTGGGCCAGAAATTGGAAAATTTTCAACGAGTCACAAAGCTTGCTTGTTAGGCATTCGGTTTTAATTCATTTCAACTTGATTATTCGTCATATATATTATTTCATTTAATAATCATATCTCTACACACTTTACAAAAAAGACGAAGAAGAAGAAGAAGGAATTTGTAACTTGAATGAGAGAATTCCTCCAGATATAGAGTTTTAACTAGAGTTATAAAATAAGAATTATGATATCAACTACCAACAATGTTAGAGCACCAATTTAGATGATCATATTTCAATCATGCTACTTGTACAATTTTATTTGTACAATAATGGATGACAACCTTTGTTGGTATTATCACGTCCATCCATTTTTTAAATTGTCAAAAACTGTTTTTTAAATCATTGGTTCTGATTTCACCACCTCCAACATTGTCAACAATGTTTGTCAACTAACATTGTACAAATAGCTTAATTCATCATATTTAATGGATTCGATTAAATGAATTACGTGATATTGCAGAGCACCGGTTTAGATGATCATATTTAATGGGTTCGATTAAATGAATTATGTGATATTGCATATAAGTGAATCTATCATTTAATGTAAATACTTGAATATTATTTTGTACTCTTTTATGTGTTATTTTTTTAGAGCTTAAGTTGCTTAACATAAGTTAAACATCGATATATATATATATATATATTTTTTATTTATTTATTATTATTACATTTATATCTTTAGCATGTCATTAACTAGTAAATGTTATTCTTAATCACGAGTTTTGATCCAGAATATTGTTAGCACTTAGCATACTTTTAACAAGAGAGATATTCTATTGTAATTTTGTAATTGTTATAATTTTACTAAATTATAACTTACAAAGGCAAATAAGTTTTACTACATCTTAACGATTTTCTTGGACGAAAAATGTCATCAGAAAGAATATTTGCACGCTAATTTGAGAATACAAATGCGATGATGAAAAGTTGAGAACATAAATATGATAATGGGTAAAAATTATGAACCTTTTATGTAATTAAAATGTTGCTAAATTAAGGTTATTGAAGAATATTTCACCACTTTCTTCACGATAACGGTTTAGATGATCAACTTTATTTTAGATGATGTATGACTCAAAATTGGTCATGAAGTTTATTTGGTACTCACAACTAGAAATAAGGGATGTTAGTATAATTTTTTTTAATTTTTTTTTAATGGAAGAACATGTTTCTGATATTGTTTATAAACCTCAATGATATCTCTAATATTGTTACCTAAAAATTGTAAAAAAGTTTGGAATACAACTGAAAAACAACAATATAATTTATCCAATACAAAATTACTCAAAAATAAATGTAAGCAACTTTGTAGCTTAGTTGGTTGGACCTTTTTATGGAAACAATACATAACTCTTAGAATTATATTTCAAAATTAACAAACTTGTTAAATTATTTCAAAATTCAGGTGTTAATTAATACACACACACAAATGACATACATTATATCTCAACCCTCACTCCCACCTACCGGACATCCATTACCTCACTTGAGGATTTTCAAAAATTGAAATTTTTTTCGAGATATTAAGCCCTACACCCCACCCTAGCTCACAGTAGAAAATTCTCCAGAAATTGAATACATTTTCTCTCTATTCCCCATCCTCTCCCTACCTGTAGAAAATCTCCAGAAATTGTGATGACGGTAATTGTACATTGTAGGTGACTGGGTTTTTGACGAACTATGTTACCTGTAATAAAGTTTATTGTTTGTGATTGGATCGATGTTGTTCCACTAAAATTTGTGACTGTTTGTAATCAAGTCACTTACCCGTGTTATATGTGACTCATTGTGACCAAAATTCATATTCGATTTGATTATCAGTGACTATTTAATTGTGGTTGTATCTAACCAAGTTACAAAATTGTTCATTGTGATCAAATTTGTCTTCAATATAACTAATTGAGACCCATTTTGTGTTCAATGTGATTGTCTGTGATTAGGTCAATCTTAACTTTGACAACATGCGATCAAGTTACAATTAGTCACAATTAACACATAATTGATCACAATCAATAACAATAAACACATAATTGGTCAACCTGTTCGCGGCCACCATCACTTTTCCACCACCACCATTACCAACATCATCAACAAACAAATGCGCACTACCTTACCACAACCACCTGTACCACCATCAACAAAACCATCACTGTCTATACTGCCACCAATAACAGAATCACCATACAAATCAAAAAATGACCACCAACATTTGTAAAATGCCAACAACCATCCCAAAAAATCTGGCTAAATATCACAAACCATCCACAACTTACCACCGCACACAACGTCGCATACACAACGCATGTAACACCTCAAATTTTCATAAATCTTGAAATATTACCAAAAATATTCTTGTCTTTATATTAAAGGTGGAATGATATAAATAATTTTTTTAAAAATAAAATAACTGAAATATTCATAAATTTCAACAAAACATGAGAATTGTATCTTAAAAAAAAGAAAACCTAACTTATTAAATAACACAAGTTTTGATCAAATTAAACTAAGTAACAAATTGAAAGACAAAAAATTAAATGCATTTCATTTTTCAAATCTTCTTAGTAGATCGCATCACTATCCCACCACAATTCTAGTTGACCCGAAGTAACCTATAAATTTTTTGTAAGAGTGGGTATTTAAAATACATAGTAAGATACATGCAATTTCTATAGACAATCATATAATAATAAAATAAACACTTCATACGACGTTTATCTTATGGAGTGTATCGATAATCAAGCGAGATACCCATTATTAGTCATTTTGAATTCTCGGAGGATTTAACATTTTGTTATAAAGAACCTAATAGAGTTCACATTTTGTCTGGTCGAACCCGAAATCCACTGGCAATTCATGCATAAATTACTGACTATAAAAGCATATGATAACAAACCACTTGCACAAAAGTATCTTACCTTGATTTTGAAAGGTTGGAAAGAATAAAATCTTATACGTAAAAATAACTAAATTATTAAATTAATTGATCACAACTTAACAAATTATAAGTCACGATTATAAATTTAAAGATTCAATAAAAATTTCATATTTGCTTAGGTCACGTAATATCTATTGGTCACAAATCTTATATATTATCGGTGTTACAATCAATCAATAATTGATTACAAACACACTTAATCCCTTCCCTTCCTATCCCATCCCAACCCACATCCCGCCCCAGCCCCACTCTTCTTTCCTATTCATGCCTTCATTGTATGTGACAGACGAAACTGATGATTTCTGGTTTAAAAGCTAATTGGGATCCACACAATTCAATTTGTTCTTTGACCAATTGTAATGGCATACAGGTTGTGACACAATAACAGGGGCATCGACCAAATTTGAAATTTTATTGTTGGCATATGTCAAAGAAATAACAGATACATGCACCAGTCATCCTTGAAATCATTTACTTCAATAGAACAACATAGGACATCTACAACTACATTGATCACAGCAACTCCACATCTAAAAGTTTTCCTTCAATTTCACCACACAGACCTTTGTCATCAGGAAGACTTCTAACTTGAATAGTTAGTTGCTTATCATGATGTGCATAATAGAAAAATGATCCTCTAGAGGTTTATAACAAGTCATGCACTAGAGTCCAAGTGAAAGAAAAAAAAAATTTGGTACATGATCTATAAATAAGATTGTGTAATTAATCTATGAAAAACAATTATTTTCCCTCAGACCTGGGGGCTACTTTCTTCACTTGAAAGTTTTGAATCATGTTAAACAAAAACCAAAGCACCTTCAAATACTGCT